CGGATCAGAGGTTTCGAGTGAAAGCCTGCTGCGAGGACCCGATCTGCGGTGACTGGCAACGCCGTTTCCGCGAGGGAGTCTATAAAGTCACGGACGATAAAGTCCTTACTGGAGAAGTCCTCCAAGGAGAAGCTGGGTCCTTTGGGAAACAAGACTTGGCGGTCCCCGACCCAGCTCGCTCCATGGCGGCGGTCGCAATTGGTGTGGGAGGGTGTTGATCTCGGTCAGACTACATCAAACGCCTTGGTTAGGACTGCAGATCCGAATCGTGGTCGAGTGCGTTGTTAGGCCGACGGAGTCTCTCTTGTTGTCGTCGCGTTGTTCCAGTGTCGTCGAGGGTGTATGATCGAGACCCGTGATTTATGACGAGAGACGCGACGTCAGAAACGATACAAAAGGCCAGGAGCGCCGACGGGAGAAAAGGTAGTGTGGGTGATGGTCAGCGATACAACCCCTCCCAAATGGTGCCTGATTGGAATTGTGGAAGCTGAGGTGCGTCAATGGAGGTGCTCGGGACTGCGACTCGTCTCGGTCTCAGTCTTCGGTGGAGGGCGATCTACAGGGATGCGTCCCACTGGGGTAACATGCCGGCCAGCGGGCTGACACCCCACCAAGCAACTAAGCCACAGGTAGCTTCAGTGGACTGGTGGCGCAGCGTGGGCGTTGTCGCGTCCTGTCGTCGTAATGATCGGGTCGTCTGGGGCGGCGAACGGTGGGCGATGGCAAGAGGCGCCCGGTCCAGCCTTGCCCGCCAATGCAAAGCACGTGGGTCGCGCCTGAATCGCCTCGTACCTCGCACTTGGGCCTGGTGGATGGCTGATTTCGCTGCTACTCTCACCACCTCGTCGTCATCTGCCAAGCCAGCTCCGGATTGCTCGACACCGCGCCTTACGTGGCATTTTGTGTGCCAACTACTTAGTGAGCGCGTCGACCGCTGCTACACAACCCTCGCTGGTTTCAACTGTCCATCTGTCTATATTTCTTTGCTACCGACATACGTCACACACATTGACCACGACCCTACCTGAGTACCGACGATCTTCGACATCAGCAGCCCGCCATGGCAATGCCCGTGAGAGACCGCAAGCTCTACAAAGCCGAGATACTGCAAGCGAATAAAATTCTGAATGAGGCGGAAAGGAAAAAGATCATTCATGTGCGTCGTGCTCCCAGGCCTTGGGAACGAGGACTCGATCTGACCACGAGCAGGACTACAAGCCCATAGACCAAGAAGACGACAACGACGATGAGTGGGCGGAACATGATGTCCCCTCGCACCCTCGGTTCGGTCTCCGACGCGCCCTGCGCAACAAGCTTCACCTCGCCCTCTTCACCATAATGCACAGCATCTTCTCTCTCTACATCAGGATACGACAGGCATGGCATATTGTGGCCTACCGCATATCCTCGATCCTCTTTTACCACCACCGCACACCCGCTTTCATCGAGAGAGACGTCGAGGGACTGAAGAAGAAACCGCAGCACCTGAGTGTAGTCCTGAAGGTTGGGCAGGGCGGCAGGCACAGCGCCGAGCTCGAGAGGCTCGTCAACGAGGCGGCCGAGATTGCCGTCTGGTGCACATGCGCCAAGATTCCCACCCTGACGGTGTACGAGAGGACTGGTGAGTGCTCCACGACTCTTTGTGTTGCCGGGACCTGTTACTGGGACCTGTTACTGATTCGCAGCAGGCATCTTCAAGAAGTACCTGCCCCATGTACAGCAGTCGATCAACCAAAAGTTCCGCTCCTACTTCGGCCGTCACCAGCCGTCCCTCACTGTCTCCATGCCCCATGCCGACGAGGTCCTCGAATCCCCCGCCCTCGGCGATTTCGCCCGTGCCGACCCCCGCCACCTCAACATCTCCTTCATCTCGGCTGAGGACGGTCGCGAGTCCATGGTGGACCTCACGCGCACGCTCGCCGAGATGTCGCAGAAGAACAAGCTGTCGCCCAAGGACATTGGCATGGATCTCATCGGAGCCGAGCTGTCCGAGGGAATCATGCCTGAGCCCGATCTCCTCATTCTCTTCGGGCCCCATGTCGAGCTCGACGGATACCCGCCGTGGCCGATTCGCCTGACGGAGATCTTCTGCCTTCCCGACAACCAGGAAGTCGGCTACCAAGTGTTCCTGCGTGCACTCCGCAACTTTGCAAACGCCCAGTTCAGGAAGGGAAAATAAGATGCAAAAAAGCCACGGCCGGCATGTGTGTACATGCATCAGCCACCCACCCTAGGAAACATCGCAAGGGGGAGGACGGGGGGGAGGCATCATTTATTTCCCCCTTTTTTTTGCATTTGTTCTCTTGTATCATGTAGCTCTCGCTGCAGACAGCTTCCAATCAACTTGATACCCTCATCTCCCTGGCGACGTCGTCCCATCGGTACACAGGACCCGTGCCTACATTGTAGTTGTAATAATTCTCCGTGCCGCCCTTGACGACAGCCCGCCGAAACGTGATGTTGATACGCCCGCCGTCCTCGGCATGCCTGCCGCTCCGCTTCGGCACAGAGTGCAGCCAGTTCGCCTGCGTCGCGCCGCGCATGAGGAGCATGTCCCCCGAGCCGAGCGGAAACCTCAGCGTCCCCAGCGCAGGCCGCGGCGACGGCGCGTCGCCGCGCGGCGGGCACGGCTTGTGCTTGAGCAGGAAGTCGCGGCGCGCGCCGAGCGAGAAGGAGGCGATGGCGGGGGCGGGGCCGAGGAAGCGCTCGTCGTCGCTGTGGAAGGCGATGCTGTCGGCGCCGGTGGCGTAGTAGTTTACGAGGCAGACGTTGAAGGCGCAGCCCGTGGCGGCCTCGGCGGAGCGGCGCAGGGCGTCGAGGCACGCGGGCAGCGGGCGCGGTGGGATGCGGTCGTAGCGCCTGTCGGGGCCGATGGGGACGCGGGACGAGGCGTCGACGGGGCGGCCGGCGGCGTTGAAGAGGGCCGTGGCGTCGAGGCCGAAGACGGTTGTGTAGCGCGGCGTGTTCACGTCGGTCTGGACCGCCGCCGCGGGTGATTTTGTACTTGACGCGGTAGAAGGGGAGATTGGTGCGGAGGTGGGTGAAGAGCTCCTTGGCGAGGGCGGGCGGGATGTAGGGTTCAAAGGAGAGGAGGTCGAGGTCTGGGTGAGAGGTGATGGGTTTGGCGGGGCGAGCGGGCAGGGAGGTAATCTCGCGGGTGCTCGATGGACTGAGGTCCAGTATGGGGAACGGGTAATGCTCATGAGTCGAGTGTGTTGTCTGGACTTGGTCAGTTGAGATGTGTTGGTGAGGGCGTGTTTGGCTTACAGGCTCCTCCGGAGCGGTGTCACTCGGACGTGCTTTTTTGGCAGTGGGCGTAAAGAAGGAATCGAGGGTTCTTTTCTGCGCCATCTTGAGAATGGGATGGAACTTTTCATGCGATGGTGATGTACTGAAGTAAAGCGCTTCCTCAATGGTAGATCGAAATGGAGTCTCCAGACGCTGCCAGTCTCCGAGCTATATAAGACCCTACGATATCTCTGAGAAAAGAGTGAGTGATCTAGAGAAAATACTGTTCATTCGAAGGTTCGGCTGCTTCATACAGGTCTTGTGGTAGACTGTCTGATCAGTCGCACATGGGCATCTCATCAACATGGACGTCACCACTCGAACTGATGCACAGCCACAACTAGCCACATCGCCCCGCCACTCTCGCGACAAAAATATCCACGTCTTTTTCCCTGTACGCGAACCCCTCCATCGATCGACTCACACAGACCCCAAACCTCCCAGCCGAAAGCTCGGACGCCCACCATGTCTGTACGTGACAGCCTCAGGCCTTTCGTTGAACTCCCCCCCCCCTGCCCCCCCTTGATTTTTTTGTTGCTCCATCGGAGAACCGCATGACCATGACCAAGTCTCTAAAACGCAAACACCAGCACGACGAACCCCAGGCGAAAGGCACCATGCTCCGGCTCCACGCGCCCCTCGCTCGCGCTGCACGACCCTGGACAGATCCCTCTTCGCCAAGACGCTCAGCCTGGCCGCCGCCACGGTGCAGGACAACCGCAACATTGCGCGCCTCCGAAAGCAGCTCACCAAGGGCCGTGAGCTGCTCGAGTGGGAGAGGCTGAACGCCTGCAAGCCTGATCCTGTCGAGACGGGAAAGAAGTGTCTTCTGCTGAAGGAGGGCGTCAAGGCTGACGGTGAGTTTGACCCGTCCTGTAGTGAGAGTGAGACACAGACTGGCGATGGTCGCTGACGTCGGCCCTCACAGCGCCTTCGACATGGGGCCCTCTGCTGCAGGCGGCTGTCGAGGCCCAGGAGGTTTCCGTCATTCCTTATGAGCTTCAGCTCGACTACGATTACTGGTCTTACCGTGAGTAGATCCCCCGTGCCTTCATGATTGAATCCGGACTCACCCCTCGGCAGTGGATGTCATCAGCTCGATCCTGCCGGAAGACCTTCACGGAGAGATCCCCGTCGGTTTCAACACGGCTGGCCACATCGGTATGCTTCAACACTCACTCTCACACGCATCCACCACGTATGGCTGACGAGAGGACCAGCTCATCTCAACCTTCGCGACCGGTACCTCCCCTACAAGTCCATCATTGCGCAAGTCATCCTCGACAAGAACCCCAAGCTGCGCACCGTCATCAACAAGACGGACAATGTCGGCACCGAGTCCGAGTTTCGCACGTTTACCTACGAGGTCCTCGCCGGCCCCAACGACATGGACGTCGAGGTCAAGGAGAACGACTGCACGTTCCAGTTTGACTACTCCAAGGTCTACTGGAACAGCAAGCTCGAGACGGAGCACTCGCGCCTCATCCGCCTGTTCCAGCCGGGCGAGGTCGTCGCCGACGTCATGGCGGGCATCGGCCCCTTCGCCATCCCCTCGGGCCGCAAGGGCGTCTTCGTCTTCGCCAACGACATGAACCCCGAGAGCTACAAGTGTCTCGACGCCGCCATCGCCCGCAACAAGGTCGGCCAGTACGTCCGCGCCTTCAACCAGGACGGCCGCGCCTTCATCCACGCGTCGGCGCGCCTCGTCCGCGAGGCCGCGGCGCGCGGCGACGAGGTCGTCCTCCACCCCAAGACGTCCCGCAACAGGAGCCCGGCGACCCCATCCCCGCGCCGACGCGCATCCCCCTGCCCGCGACCATCAGCCACTTTGTCATGAACCTGCCGGCCTCGGCCACGACCTTCGTCCACCACTTCCGCGGCCTCTACCACGGCCAGGAGGCCCTCTTTGCGCCGCACACCCTCGCCCAGCTGCCCCTGGTGCACGTCCACTGCTTCGCCGTCAAGCAGGACGACGAGGTGCCGCTCCTCGACATTTGCGACCGCATCTTCCACGAGATTGGCGTCCGCTTCAAGCCCGGAGACGCCGCGAACGAGGGCGAAATGTCCATTTACAACGTCCGCGACGTCGCCCCCAAGAAGCGCATGTTCTGCGCCTCTTTTCGCATCCCACCCGAGGTGGCCTTTGCCTCTGAGACGTCTTGAACGGAGGAGGAGAAGGAGGAGGAGGAAGACGGAGGATGCAGGAGAAGCGTGGATTCCGCCTCGTTTCTTCCGCGCGAGAGAAGTGACGTCGAAATGAGGAGGAGTTCAGCCAGTCAGCCCAACCATGTCATTCATCGACAGCGATGAGCCGCCAAATTGAGCAGCTCGCCCCACACAGCTCATCTGTATCACGAGCATTAGCCCGTCGTTGGACAATTCCTCCCCACGGTCGGGGTGGCTTGGCAAGAGGTGAAACCGGAGAGGGAGAGAAGGGTGCCTGCGAGCGGCTACAACTCGGAACGGACTAGAAAAACGGGACGATGCTGCGGCCAAGAGCGAGTTTTCTGGTTGCCCGCCCGGCATGGAAATCTACCCGGCCGGCAGCCCGGCATTGTTCACGCGGGCGCCTTGTCTATCAGCAACCTTGTGTGCTCCGCCGCCCCTCCCACCCCCATGTCGCGGGAAATCCCTCGAACGCTGCAAGTCTGTGGCGATCACCGGCCCTTCCAGACGCCGACTGCTTCGGGCGACGTGCATTGGACGCAGGAGGCTGACAAAGACCCGACCAAGGCTGCAGAGGCAAACACACACGCTGGCAGACAAGCACGGCTGGATGGCTGAACGGATGAATGGAATGGGACATCCAGGCGAATGGCAGGCAAGGAGACAAGAGCAGAGAGGGAAGCCGACCGAGAGAGAGAGAGAGAACGGAGGAACGAGAATGGCGAGGCGGGAAGGGAGCGGAGGAGGGGGGGAGGGGGGGCAACAGTTGCATCCCGTCGACCAGTTCTCGAATCTGACATGCGTCTTGAGAAAGGGAGGGGTCGAAAGGAGATGTTGATAGGCAACAAGGCCTCCCAACGAGCCACTTCCGAGGAGTCGG